TGCTGTATATGAGCACTTGAAAGCTGGTGGGAAAAAATTGAGACTATGGTTACAGCTACAATGCATCTTATGTCTCTGGAACTGTTCTTAGCTATGTATCAGGCAACTAAAATGATTTTAAACTTCCAGTCTTTAAAAGGCAATGGACTTTATATTTTTTAAATAAAAATTATATTAAAATATTTAGGATGTCACCGTAGGGTGCTGTTAGAGGATTTTTGTGTAGCACTCCTTTTCCACCAGAAGAAACTCACTGGGCCATACAAAAGAAAGAGTTAGCGCTATTTTATATAATGTCATTTACTCTTTCATGTTCTGTAGGACCCCATGTGAAAGTTGGGTGATAAGTTTCAGCAGTGCATGCATAGGCAGTACAAATGACATTATAATAAGAGAATCCTGGATGACACAGAGGGAATTACAGCCAGGTTTCCATGTATAAAAGCAGGCATGTACTCAGTGAAACTAAATGCTTGGTAAGTCTTTGCAGGAGAGGAATGACAGGAGTGGAGGCTGAGCCAAACTCATCAAACCTACTAAAACTTCGTGGCAATGCAAAAAGAGAAGCAAAATCCGGGAGTCTTGAATCTTATTTCTGAGCTATTGCAGGCTTATTTTCATTCTCTTCGAATTTTTTCCTTGAAATTCTTTTTTTGCAGAAACTTTTCATTGAAATAGTGTAAACTAAAAAATAATTTTTTATTATTTTTTTTTTAAATGCAGGTTGTCTCCAAAATAGATTGTTCTGGATCCTCTGCACGTATGTGATTCTCAAAGTGAGAGAAGAAGTACCTTTGGCAGGGCTGATTTTGCATTTTAAAGTAGGAGTTTCTTTTAAGCTTTCCTGAAAGGCCCAGGAATTCCAAGAATTTTTTCATGTGGCACATGTACTCTTTCCTTATTATGAAACAGGGGGGCTTTCCTCAGGGATGAGTCTTCAGGGAGACACACTTACGTGTATAAATTTAAGAGCATGTATCCTCCCTTGAAGTCAATGGAGCTTGAGTAGGTGCTTAAAAGTATAAGTGTGTTTAAAAGCTTTCTTTAAACAGTAGGGCCATAATGTCAGATGTATGTGAAGTATTTTAGAGAACAGCAAAAGGCAAAATACATGATTTAAGGACACAATTAAAATAGGTGAAAGGAGACACCCCTGCTACCATTACACACTTCTTATCTCTGTTTCCAGGATGTGTCAGTCTCTAAAAATACAGGTACTACACAGCTGTTAGTTTTAGGTGTATATTTGGCCTGTGTTTTAACAGAAAGTGAAAATAATACAAATTATAAATTAGCACACTGTGTGGTATAATAGGCAATCCAGCATGTCAAAGAATTATGTATTACAGTGGCTGCTATTAGGGTACTATAACTTCTATGGTATACAAATTTGTGATGTAGAAAACTTCAAAACAAATAAAATTATTTACATAGAGACAAAATCATTGTAAATAACTTTTAGGTTTTAAATTACTTGCACCTTCTTTCTTAACTGCTAATGATTCCTACTCCTAGTAATGTTCTAGTAAAACCCCTGATAATAGTTTAACATTTTATATAGATTATTATTTAGGAGTACATGTGAATCCTCACCAAAATGTACCATTGATACCAAGTTAAGTTTACAAATGTTTTCATTCTACTGAAGTACATCTTAAGAGGAACACTGTTAAAAATCTTACTAGCATTTTGTACTGACATTTTACTTTAATTTCCAGCAGAAGTTGTAACTGTGAAGCAGCTGCAGCCAGAAACTGGGTGCCAGGCTAGCCAGGACTGGAGTGAGAATGAAGCAACACTGGACTGGACTCTCAAAGTTGGAGGTTGGAATAGGCTAGCAAAGGCTGTCCAGGCTGGGAGCTGCAGAAGGAAAGAAACATAGTAGGTACAGGACTGGGACTGGCTGAAAAACTCAGGGAAGGTGGGAAGAGGATGAAAATCAAGAGGATGGAAGGCAGGGATAGGTACAAGGAGAAAGGTGGTGAAAAATGAAACTGCTTGAGCAGATACATTGAATTGAGGAGGATTTGTGGGGAATATGAAATTATAAAATGTCTGGTAGGCTGGGAGCTGGGATAGGGAGCATGAGTGAGGATGCAGAGCTTGAGTGCAAAGGGTGATTGGAGGTTTGATGAGTGAGAGAACAGAGATGGATCTGAACAGGAAGGAAGAATTGGCTCTGGAAGAAGATATGTGGAAGCAGGAGTAAAGTGAGTGTTGCAGATAAATAAAGCTAGTCTTTTATACTCCTTCCCTCATAGAAATGTCTGAGTAGCTTTTTGCATCAAATTAATAACAATCCCAGCTTCCCCTGGGTAATAGAGAGGGGACCTTTCTCTATTTGATGGGTTGGAACTACATTAAGTCTATTTTGGATTTTTAGTTTGTACTTTTGGGGAGGACTGGAAAGAATTTTTTTTCTTTGATCAAAGACATTTGGAGCTTGGTGATAAAATGTGAATGTTTCTTATAGTGGAAAATATCTTTCAAACGTTCTGAGAGTTACCTGCAATGTTGCTTAAAAACAATCATACTCTGGACTCATTTATTCTCTGTTGCCTCCTTGATGGATAACATCAAGACAGGCACACTTCATCTGGTGTTTTGTTCTGGGACTGTTGCAGATGCTGCAGTTGTCTGCAGATCTTCGTGTAGTCTGTTGTGTTACTGGGGTTGGTCTGTTAGTTCCTTGGCCATCAGGGCCAGTGCCAGTTTATGCTGGCAATCGAAGCTGAATAGGAGCTATTTGGAGGACTCGAGCTTGAAGCCTTTGCTTCAAAGCAATGCCTTTTTATTATTATTTCCAGTAAGATTTTGGAAACAGTATTTTCAGCTTGATACAGTGAGTTGCAACTAATCCAGCCGGATGTGAAAAATACTCTGGTCAAACTCCACTGGGCAAGATGAGAAAGGTGAAGGTGAAAGAGAGTATTTTGGAATATGTATGCAAGTGGGACAGCCAAAATGAGTGTCGGCTGTGCAAGTCTGCCTCTCTTTGCTGGATGAGGGCTGACCTTTCTGAGCAAGGCAACAAACATCTTGGACAACTTCTGATTTGAGTATTCCTCTTTTCTATCCAATATAATTTGAGTCTCCTTTGGCTCTGATCTGGACCAGCTGCTTTCCATCCTAACCAATCTTATTTCCTGCAGCAACCTGGACGCGTTTGCAGCAGCCGTGGCTACACGGGGTGAGGATGAAGTGCTGCAGTCATCCTTGGCATGCTCTTGTCTGTTAAAACGGTGGAACATCCTTGTGCTGGATTTCTTGGTGGCCCCGTACCGATGCTGAAGGGTGGGAGATCCCTGTGGTCTGCAGCGATAAACGCCTTTGGAAAGGAGAAGCAAGCGCTTATCAGTGCTGAAAGGGGTGTGTGGAGGGGTGTGGGCGCTGGGCGTGCCCTGCTGGCACACGAAGAGCCTGTGTAGCTTCCAGGGCTGCCTCCGTGGCCCTGGAAAACCAGGGCTTTAATGGCATCAGTCAGCAAGGATGAAATGAGAGCGCGGAAGTCGTTAATACCGGAATACTTCTTCCTTAGCCAGGCTTTCCACCGGTGGTCACCTCGTAGTCCTGCCTAAAATGTGTAAGCACGTCACATCCATCGGGACTCCCGGCGGCGGGGCAGGCAGCAGCGCGGGAGGCCTACGGGAGAGAGACAGCCGGGCTCAGCCCCCCGTTTCCCGGGACAGAGCCCTCCAGCCGGGGCTCAGCCCCCCGTTTCCCGGGACAGAGCCCTCCAGCCCGGGCTCAGCCCCCCGTTTCCCGGGACAGAGCCCTCCAGCCCGGGCTCAGCCCCCCGTTTCCCGGGACAGAGCCCTCCAGCCCGGGCTCAGCCCCCCGTTTCCCGGGGCAGAGCCCTCCAGCCCGGGCTCCGCGCGCCGTCGCCCCG